TTCCTGCTCCTCTGATGCTGCTTGGCCTGCTGTGTTCATCCAGCTCTGCACCTTGTTATCTCTATTATTAAGAAAGTACGTGGTTACTGACTTAAAGGCAACTTTGTTTTAATAACTGAGAAAAGAAAGCATACAATTGTTTCGATTGACAATTGATGACATGCTGAATATTTGAGTGCATGAAGGCACAATCTGTTACCTTGGAGTTTAAGTCCCTGTGATAAATATTCTTCGAGTGTAGGTACGCCATTCCTCGAGTAATGTCGGCTGCGAGATCCACTTTTTCCTTCCAAGTCAGGTTAACCTCTTTATTGGCCAGTAATTCTTCTAGGCATCCACCATTAATATACTGTGAAGCAATGCACATGCGAACATTTGTGAATACAGCTGCAACAATTCATTTATCTTACAATTACATTTATATTCGTGAAGTAAAATATTGTTTATTTAGAATGGTATTTACCTCAAGCATAGGATACAGTTTATCTTCTTTAACGCACACACCAAGGTACCTAAAAAAAAGTCAATATAAAGGGTTTTTGTAAAATGTTCATTAATGTGTGTGATGCAACAAATTCTTCCAATGTTGACTTGGTAGTCGGAGTTGAGATTACAATTTTTGACCTTGAAATGGTGAACAAAAGCTTTGACACACTTAGAAAATAGAAAAACTCTTTCCCTGGGTAAATAATGAAGGTTATGATGGACTAGTGGAATGGAATTTGGGCCAGGAAATTCCTGGAGTTGCCTCCATGCTCCAATAGCATTATTTCACAGAGTATATGAGTAATTGCAGTTATGATGAATTTTAGCAAACTAACCTGAAGTTAGTTGGCATTTATTGCATCAGACATTATGTTTAGTGTCATACTTCATAGATAAGAAAATTTGATTAAAAATCTAGAAAACAAAAGGCGATTGTTGCCTGTTTTACAAGCCGAAAGAACTGTGGATGCTGTAAATCAGGAACAAAAACAGAAGCTGCTGGAAAAGTTCAGCAGGTCTAGCACCATCTGTGATGAACAATCAGAGTTCACATTTCAGGTCTGGTGACCCTTCCTCAGAACTACCTCAGTTCTGATGTAGGGTCACCAGACCCGAAACGTTAACTCTGATTTTTCTTCACAGATGTTGCCAGGCTTGCTGAGCTTTTCCAGCAACTTCTGTTGTTATTGCCTTTTTTAACTTCTTTGTTAATTGGGTCTTTCCCTAAGGACAATTATCATCCTATAAAACATTTGGTCAATCATGAGCCTTTAATTGCCTCAAGGATCGACATTGCACAGGAACTCACTGTCATAGTGTTAAGAGCTTGGATGGGGAGGAATTTGTCTCAAGCATGCATAAGAAAACTTTCTTATTCAATATCTGGATGTCCCTACTAGAGAAGGAGCAATACTTGACCTTCTGTTGGGAAATAAGGCAGGGCAAGTGACTGAGGTATCAATGGGGGAGCACTTTGGGGCAAGTGATCATAATTCTAATAGTTTTAAAATAGTTATGGTAAAGGACAGAACTGATCAAAAAGTTAAAGTTCTAAATTAGTGTAAGGCCAATTTTGATTATATTAGACAGGAACTTTCAGAAGTTGATTGGGAGAGGTTATTTACAGGAAAAGGGATGGTTGGAAAGTGGTAGATCTTTAAAAATGACATATGAGAATTTAGAGAAAGTATGTTCCTCTTATTGTGAAGGGCAAGTCTGATAGGTGTAGGGAATGCTGGATGCCTAGAGAAACTGAGGCTGAGGTCAAGAAAAAGAAGGAGGCATGTATCAGGTAGAGACAGCTGGGATCAAGTGAATCCTTAGAGGAGTATAAGGGCAGTAGGAGGATACCTAAGAGGGAAATCAGGAAGGCAAAAGAGGACATGAGATAGCGCTAGCAAATAGAGTTAAGGAGAATCCAAAGCGATGCTATAATATACAAAAATAATATTACAGTAATATAGTTTGGCTGCTGTACTTCTCACTATCTAGAGCAAGTAATGAGACTCCTCACTATTTCCCTGATGACTGAAAAACATAATAGGTTAAAAACACTTACTGATGACTAGAATTATTTAAGAAAGTTTTTCATTAATATATGTTTTATTCTCGTATTACCGTGTATTTGTTCATTTCCCTGCATCTGTGCACAGATGAATTAATCAATGTCTTCCATTTGCAGCGACATTACTAAAATAGTACAATACCATTTTCCCAATACTTGACTGAGACAAGTTTAGATTAGCAAATTATCATTTGATTAACTTTACTTCTGGGCAATGCCATACAGATTATATTCTATTTATTGGTTGTTCGATATGGTTATGGGGATTATGGTTTTGGAACTGGACACATCCCTTTTGTTCATCTTTTTCTTATTTGCATGTAGGTTTTTTTGTATTCAACTGTTACGTAAAGAACCAAATTGGTGACTCAGTTACTAATTGATCCATTTGAACAAGAAGGAACTGTGTTTAATCAACTGATCTCAAGTAGTCTGTGGTAGGTGCACTTTAATTGGTTTAATGCCCTGGATTATAGAGAAGAAAACTGTACCAAGATCTGGCTCTACTGTGAAGTTTTCCTGTAGTGATTGGAACCAGGCTGGCCTCATTGAGAGCCTTGATCAGGGTTGTTAACCTGGTCCAACCAGGAAAGCCCTGGCTGACTAACACAACCAGGAGATGAGCATCTCCTCAGTAGAGATGACAGGCTCTGAGCTGGCTAGCTACAGCCAGTGTACTGTGCACAAGTAAATAAAGAGTAATCTGGTGAAGGGATACCAGCCTCTGTGCAGTTATTTCACTTCCACAGTTGAGAAGCTTGATATGTGAAAACTCACGCCCAAGGTTGGACCTGCACTTCTGATCAATACCACTCCTCTCCAAGATAGCTGGTTTGAGCGTCAGCCTTAAATAACAACTTTAACAAGTCAAAATAAAGTTAAGAAATGCTATTAGTTTCTGTCACCAGTGCAATAGTCAGAGAATGAAGATCAGCTACATAGGAACCATGTACAAACTATAAAATCAACACTTCAAACTTTCAAATGTCATTTAAGCAACAGGTTTCAAATAAATAAAACGTGGTTCAGTTAGCAATGATATTCTGTATTCGATATTCTTGATAACAGGTCAACTAAACGGCAATGCTGATGGTAGGCTAGCAATCCTCAATGTTTCAATACAGTCAAATCAAATTTTTTTTCACGCTATCCAATCCTCTTGCCCTCCATTCTTTGCTGAAAGAGAAACTGTCTGAATGATATATTCTCAGCTATTGGCATGAAGGAAGGGGTCAATGGTACTTCTGGCCAGGTTTATTGAGCTTTCATAATGCTATGTTATCATTTCCTGCAACAAAGGAATTTCCAAAGATTTTGGAAGCGCAATGATCGCTCATTCATAATTAGCCAGATTTGCTTAGATATATTGATTTTAATAGTCTGACCACTTGTAAGTTAATACCTACTTCTTCTAATTCCAGATTCTAAATGTCTGAAACTAAATCCTTTTGTAAGATTACTTGATTAGTTCATCATTCATGCACTCGCAGCAAGCAGCTACACAATAAGAAATTTAAGGTCAAAGAACTAACATTAAAGTTGAAAGCCCAGTCTCTCTGATTTGCTTTCTCTTTGATTGTCGCTCGCTATTTGAAGTGCGGGTTTGGGTAATTTAACACCATTTCCTTGTTGGAACTCATTTTATTGAAGTAAGAGAATATGCAACTATCAAACTAAGCTGAACTGTTATTATGTAACAGAATAAACTAGACTTTTAATGTGCATGCAGTAATTTGCAGAATAATCACAAGCTTTATCAGCTGTCAACTTTACAATGCATTTTCAACTCGATTGTTTCCTAAGTAAAATGGACATTTTCACTGAGATTGTAGCCTGTCAATGTCAAAATATTATGTTTTTTTTTAAAACCAGCATTCAATGTTTTTACCCATAAGCAGTCTATTAGAATTTCAAACAAAAAGGCACCTTCATTTCATTCGAAATGTAGGCTTTCATTGTCATCAAACTGAGATCTCGTGAAGGTAATTCTGAAGCCTATTTGTATCAGTCGTATTGACTCTACGGCAAGACTTGGGAGTGAAGACGTTCAGAACCAAATGAAGCAGCTTTTCCTTTAGTTGTTCACGGGATATAAGCATTGTTGGCTAGGCCTTATTTGTTAATCATCCCTACTGGCCTCAAGAAGGTGGTGGTTATTCGTCTCTTCAACCACTACAGTTCTCGCATGTAAGGACACCCACAGTATTGCTCGGAAGTGAATTCCAGAATTTTGACCCAGTGACACTGAAGAAATGGCAGTTAGTTCTGAGCCGCATGGTATGTGGGTTGGAGTGTGGAGAACTTGCTATTGATGGGGATCCCATGCATTTGCTGCCCGTGTGCTTCTAGCTGGTAGAGGTTGTGGGTTTGTGAGGTGCTGCTAAAGGAGCCTTGGTGAGTTAATGCAGTGCAGTGTAAACATACTGCTGTCAATGTGACTTGGTGGTAAAAGGATTGCATGTTGAAGGTGGTGGATGGGATGCCAATCAAATTGGATACTTTTTCCTGGATGATGATGAACTTTGTGTAATGCAACTGCACTCATCCAGGCAAACAGACAGCGTTCAATTATACTCCAAACTTGTGCCTTGTAGATACATAGAAACATACATAGGAGATTGGAGCAGGAGGAGGCCACTTGGCCCTTCGACCCTGCTCTGCCATTCATCACGATCATGGCTGATCATCCAACCCAATAGCCTAATCCTGCTTTCTCCCCATAACTTTGATACCGTTCCCCCCAAGTGCTATATCTAGCCACCTCTTGAATACATTCAATGTTTTGGCACCAACCATTTCCTGTGGTAATGAATTCCACAGGCTGGTGGTGGACAGGGACTTGGGGGCACAGGAGGTGAGTTTCTTGCCACAGAATTCCTAGCCTCTGATTGACTCTTCAAGCCACAGTATTTATATTGCTAGCTCAATTCAATTTCTGGTCAATGGTAACCCCCAAAAATTTGACAGTGGTACATTTAATGTTGGTAATGCCAGTGAATGTCAAGGGGTGATGGTCAGATTCTCTCTTGTTGGAGATGGTCATTGCTTTGCACTTGTGCAGTGTGAATGTTACTTGCTCCTTCTCAGCTCAAATCTGGACATTGTCCAGGTTTCGTTGCATTTGGACATGGACTGCTTCAGTATCTGAGGAGTCACAAATGGTGTTAAATGTTGTGCAATCACCAGAAAACACCCCCAGTTCTGACTTTATGATGGAAGAAAGATCATTGATAAAGCAGCTGCACCTGCATAAAAGAACATAGTTGTTGGAGATCAATCAGCTCAGCTCAAGGACTTCTCTGTAATTCCTCAGGGTAATGTTCCAGATCCAACCATCTATTCCTCATTTTTGTCTCTTTCAAAAGTTCCTTACTGGCTAATCTCAAGAGATTTCCAAATTTTCATCAAATCACCAAACTGTTTGCCATGTTTCTTTGACTAGTAAATTCTGAAATTAAATTCAGAACGTTGAGTAATGTATGGACTTAAACCTGACCCCAGATTCTCATTCTGCTTTTGGCCCTAATGTCCTCTTAAGTGATCCATCAAGCTCTTTAAGAAGTAAAAGCTGTGGTCACTAGAAAGAACAATTGTCAATGTCACCCACAATATAAGAAGAAGTAATAACATGCACGATTTTCTGGCTTTTTGCATAACTCATACTATGTCAAATGATGTCATTCAATGTTATAATTGTTATTGTTTAATGCACTTTCAACAAAGAATTTTTTGGAATAATTCACCAAGGATCTCTGACTTTTACCTGACTATATTAGGATGAGAAAGTTTCTGAAGAAGGCTGATCTCCCGTACAATGACATCCTGGTCAACATCCTGCTTGTAGATTTTTACCACCATAACTTTGTGAGTTGTGTTGTGAGTCACCTGTAGAGAGAGAGGGAGACAAAGTATTACGATAGAATCACAAAAAAGAAAATATTAGGGTGGTAATGTTGCATTTTCTCCACAATTTTGCTTGCCCCCACCAAAGGTTAGAATTTCAATGGCCCACATTTTGCTCTCAGTAGCTAACAAATCTTGCCAGCCATTCAGTCCACTTACATTTGCCTATCATTTTCCATGAGCCTTTGTGACGGGACTTGTCATACTTAGAAACTTAAACAGTCCAGCATGTTCTACAGGATACCTGGGCCCCGTGTATTCAGGACAAGTACCTGTATACCTCCATAACAAATCAAATTAAAGAATGACCAGCAAAGTCTACATTGGGATAGTTAGAATATCAAATTCAAAGTCAAATCATGCACCAAAAACAAAATAGAGCATGGAGGGAAAGTAACATGTGATTAGGGTAGACATAAATATGGGGGACGGAATAGAATTTCTACTTTTGCCACAATCAGCAACAACTCACATTGTTAAGCTTAAGAGTAAAAATCCTCTAATCTGCCCAAACAATTTAACATTGTCTTATCCTCAGATGAGTGTCCAAATCAGACACAAGTGGCCACTATCTAGTTTAACAATTCAGTAGTCTCTCTGAAAGACATTGTTAAGTTATGGACAACATTGTGCAATGGGAACAATGTTGATCTTGTCCTTAATAATTTGACTTAAGATCATTAAAGAGAATTCAAAGGAGAATGGTGACTTCAACACAACAATACAAAGTGTATTAGCATGGCTATGAAAAGCAGCACCCTAAATCAGTGCACTTTCAGACTCTTCTGCCCTGCTACAACATCGAGCCTACTTTCAGAAAAACGCTGCTTTTGTTTTATAGCAAGGGGTAACGCCACACACTTATTCACATTGATTTCCATCTGCCACATTTTAGCCCAATCTTTTTCCTTCTCAATTTTTCTATGAAGCTTCCTTTATATTTCTAAAAATAATTAACCATACTTTGTATTCTATCCATGTAATTTGGCACAGTATTCTCCAAGCTCACATCCACTGCTGCGCCACATTTTGAAATCCACTGAAACAATATTTTTTATTAGTGCACAGGATTTGACATCATTAGTGTTGTATGAACAATCATTAACATTTAGCACCATGCTGTAGAAGGCTTCTATACAGTTGCTCACCATGGGGTAGGTTTGTTGTTATCTTCTTTTAGCGTCGAGGTGTATTTAGGTGTATTTGGTTCTAGTGTGGTGGAGGAAAACCACTTGCTCATCTAACAGGAAAAAGCTTAAATGTCTTAAACATGTAATAAACTACATGTCTAAAACAACATGTAGTTTATTAGATAATAGAAACTATGTATAACTTCTGTTGATATAACAGACATTGTTACAGAAACTGTACATTTATTGTCATTTAACGTTCCTTTCCTCTTTGCAAATTATTAAGACTCCTTTTATAATTTTAAAATACCATTGGATTGTACGTTATGCATGTGCAAACAAAACAGTCTGAATAGCAGGATGAAGTAATTCTTCAAAAGAATATTTCAGTCAAATAGTTTGGCTGTTGTACTTCTCATTATCCAGAGCAAGTAATGAAACTCCTCACTATTTCCCTGATGACTATGAGGCAGCTTTTACTCTTTTGATATACCTAAGCTGTTCTCCCTCCTGTGTGAACTCAACACCGTTGAATGTCCTTGAGGCAGTCCTCAGTAACAACCCTTTCAGACCCTTATACAACATGTAAGGCCATCATTTGCTGTCCACCCCTAACTGACTGTGAACCTGAGGCAACAAGGTGCAGAGCTGGATGAACACAGCAGGCCAAGCAGCATCATAGGAGCAGGAAGGCTGACGTTTCAGGCCTAGACCCTTCATGTGAACCTGTTAGGCCAGAGGATAGCTCAGAGTCAGCCACATTGCCGCAGAGTTTCATGTAGGCCAGACCATGTAAGGATGGAAGACATTCTTTCTTAAAGAGCATTAGCAAATCAGACAGACTTTTACAACAATTGGTAATAATTTCATCATTGAGACTGTTTTTTTTTTAATTCCAGATTGATTAACTAAGATTCAATTCCACCAGCTGCCATGGTGGGATTTGAACCCAGCACTCAGAGTATAGCCTGGGCCTCTGTCCTACTAAAGTCCATTATCCAATCATGTGCCCCAATGTGGCAAAACAAACAAAGCTGTTTTTATAAGATCACCATGCTCTTTGGCTCTGTGTAGAATGGCGTATTCTGCACATTCCTCACAGATCTTAAACTGGAAGATGGAATGACTGCTTTGTAGTGTTGCCCTGGTATCAGACAGAAATCCTGAGAACACTGTTCTATGCCCTTTACCGCTTCTCACACATTTTATTCACTGCTGCTCAAACACTGGGTTTCCAAGGCAGCAACTGTCAACATGAGTGTTTCAAAAAATACTGCCAACACCATACCATTAATAATCCACAGTGCCTGTAGGATTTGGCTTATTAGAAAATCTTTTCAAATTCAAACTATAACAGCAATAGCTGAGGTTGTCAAGCAAACCTGTTCAACATGCCTCTTTCACGGGGCCAAGAGTGTTAATCTCAGGATCGTAATATTTAAAAAGGTGGTAAAAGGGACTATCTAAGCATTGGGGTGGCACGGTGTCTCAGTGGTTAGCACTGCTGCCTCACAGCGTCAGGGACCTAGTTTGATTCCACACTTGGGCGACTGTTTGTGTGGAGTTTGTACATCCTCCCTGTGTCTATGTGGGTTTCCTCCAGATTCCTCTCACAGTCCAAAGATGTGCAAGTTAGGTGGATTGGCCATGCTAAATTGCCCCATAGTGTTCAGGGATGTGAAACCTAAGTGAATTAACCATGGGAAAAGCAGTGTTGCAGAGACAGCATGGGCCTGGATGGGATGGTGTTCAGAGGGTCAGTATGGACTTGACAGGCTGAATGACTGTTTCCACACTGTGGGGATTCTATGAAGCATTATCTTATTTGATAGATATATGTGTGAGTCTAGGTGTGATAGCATAGTGTCATGTTACTGGCTGGTAATCCACAAGGTTCAGGATAATGATCAGACTGCCTGAAATCAAATCCCAGCACAGCAATTTTAGAATTTTTAAATTCTGATTAAATAAATGTGGAATAAATGCTGCCTGAGTTGGAGGGTTTGACCCAGGACAAAAAATCTCTTTGGAGCAGCAAAGGTTGGGAGGGTACTTCATAGATGTGTATATAATCATGAGGGCCATAATTGGGGGTGGGGGTTAGTCGAGGAGATGAATAACTGAGGTTCATGGGTTTAAGGTAACATTTGAGAGCTAAGTGGGAAGGTGATGAGAATTTTCTTCACCCAGAGAGTGAGGCGAAAGTCTGTAACTCACTTCCTGAAAGGATAGTTGAGTCAAAAGCTCTTGTAATATTTAAGCAGTACTTCGATATTCATGTGCATTACCGTAGCCACCAGGACTGTGGATCAAACACTGGAAAATGCGATTGGTACAGTCATATCTTTGTTGACTACTGCAGACACAATAGGCTGAATGGCATCTTTCTGCACTGTAAAGTCGATGAGTCTATGATTTTCTAGCCTCGTTTAAAGATCCGCTTTCCTCCAGGCTATTTTTTTCACTCTGAAAGCTTTTTCACAAGATTATCGAAGTATTAATACAAAGGCAGGAACATAACAACAAAAGTCAATAGTTTAACCAAGCTGTCAAGAAAAAGAGCAGTATTTTCCCACTTTTCAACTGACTCCAAAAGTAAGAAAGTCTAGCGGAGGGATATCCAGGGCCGATCTTATTTAGAAAGTCCGTCAGATCAAATGTTAGTCAGTAGCTGACTGGCTGCCTGTAGACTTTGTGTTGAAATTACAAAGCTGGGCCAGACTGTCCTAGCCCCAGGACCCCAGGATGCAGGATCAGAATACAGTAAGTGTTGCATGTTTAGGGGTGGGCTTTCTGGGGTCATAGAATCCCTACATTGTGGAAACAGGCCCTTCGGCCCAACAAGTCCACACTGACACACAGAGCATCCCACCCAGACCCATCCCCCTAATCTATACATCCCTGAACACTATGGGCAATTTAGCATGGCCAATCCACCCAGATTGCGGGAGGAAACCAGAGCACCCGGAGGAAACCCATGCAGACACGGGGAGAATGTGCAAACTCCACACAGACAGTCGCCCGAGGGTGGAATCAAACCTGGGTTCCTGGCGCTGTGAGGCAGCAGTGCTAACCACTGAGCCACAGTGCTGCCCCTATTATTTTAGAAGTGACAATGGGGAAGGGATTCTCACGTTGAGAGACTAGCTCACCCCCAAAGATGGCAGCCTGTCTGCCCTGGTTTATACATCAGGTAATCTGGCTCCCTCTTGTCTCACATGGACCTGAAGGAACTGCAGCTCAGGCAGGACAAGAACGTTGCAGCAGGTCAGGAAAATAAATCCAGAGCCTTCCCACATTGAAATTAATCACTGAAAGTGGATGTGGGCATCTTCCTGGTGCCAGTTTTCTCGATTATCTGCCCTTCCCACTACTTTGCTACAGCCTTCTCGGAAGGAGACATTCTGCCTGTATTACCATTCTTTAAACACAAATCAATTGCCTTTTTTACAATTTATTGATTGCCAGAGGCCTAAAAATTAGTTTCATATATAGTTATGTTATCATCTGACAGAAATAAAATCATAAAATCCCTACAGTGCGGAAAGAGGCCATTTGGCCCATCAATTCTGCACCGACCTTCCACAGAGCACCCCATCCAGACCCACCATTACCCCTTCATCTTCAATGGCTAACCCACCTAATCTGCATATCCCTGGACACAACGGGGCAATTTAGCATGGCCAATCCACTTAACCTGCTGTAGCCAATGAACATGCAAACTGCTATTGTGGAACTTTGTCGGTTCAAGCTTACCACATTTTGGATAAAAACCAAAAGAACTGTGGATGCTGTAAATGAGGAACAAAAACAAAGTTGCTGGAAAAGCTCAGCAGGTCTGGCAGCATCTGT